TGGATTCTCTTAGATTTCTGTGGGGGAGGAGAACACGTCCCCCCAAATGCATAAACAATGGGCAGTCGTTGGAATCCCTGGGTTCAAGGGCTGTCACTTGGCTTTTTGCTCCAAAGCACCCCTCTTGCCGTAGTAGCTGAGGCAGAGCAGAGAAGACGAACAGTACATTTTATTCATTACAGCTGTTTTAGGGACTGGGGGCTTAGAGAACAGCCAGAGGAATCCAGTTGCTGAAGAACGTGTGGTAAGCACCACACAGCCCTTGACCTGCAGATGGCAGCAGATTGTGTCACCCACAGTGGATGGCATCTTTTCCTCCCTCTCTGCTAAGAAGAACTGCAAGGCCTTAGGGACTTAGACTCGTGCCTGCCGTGTAAACAGCAGCTTGTGCTTGGGTTTGATGACTTTGGTCTTCCCTGGTGCCATTCGCTGCTTCGGAGCCCAGTGTTAATCACTGCAACTGCCCTTTCTGCAGTAGGTTAAAAAACACAATGACCCAAGAGACCTCTGAATTTTAAGATTCCACTTTTCTGGCTTATTTAATTTACATAATAATTTGTGCAGCGCTTGCGTATCCCTTATTTGGTTGTTTAATACTAAATAAAATTTCCGGGCAATTCCCCAAATGCGAGCCCCTCTGCCTGCCTCTGCAGTCATTGTCCCCATAGCAATAAGGAAAGTAAATGACTGTGGGCTGCCTGCCCAGCATTCAGATAGGTATAAGGCAAGCTTTTTGAGCTGCTAAACAGATTTAGACTCCTTAAACTGTTTGAGGGAACAATATTTCTCCTGTTTTATTAATTATATTAAAACCATGCACAGGATAAATAGTAAGGTTTTCTTAATCATGGAGAACCAAGACAGTTTCCTCCATGGGAGGATCCGATGAGCTTCCCGTGTCTAGTCATGCAGAACCACCCTTACACACTCTCATCTATGTTCACAGGTGTCCTCCTATCCAGCCTATCCTCTGCCCACACCAAATTCAGCAAAACACACATTCGCTATCTCTTTATGATATAGCGCTCTCTGCCCTGTTCACAGAGACAGGAAGCAGAAATAATCATGCCTTCAAGGAGTGCAGACACACACACACACACACACACACACACACACACACACTTGAAGCTGAGATGGGGCAATAACAGAAGTAGGAACCATAAATTGTTGCCTATCACAAAACAGTAATTTTTCCTATCGAGATGCACCCCCATAATAGTTAATCAGCCTCTCTGCCATCTGCTCCCCCCCCCCCACACATACACACAAAGCAGTTAATCTGGTTGGGTTTGGAGGAAGGATTCTTGGGTTAAGTTGGCATGGAAGACAAATGGGAGCAGATGATACAGGCCAAAGGGACCCCCAGACATGGCACCTGTTAGCACACAGACTGTGGTCAGAAAGGGGTAACCTTTGGCTGAGATGCTGAAGGTGCACATGGGGGATGAGACAGGATGCAACGGGAGATGCAAGGCAGTGAAGGTTATGATGCACGTTGCTCATTGTAGAGTATTGACTTTGTAATCAACCTATGTTTCCAGCAGCAGATGAATGGATAAAGAAAATATGACCCATACACAAAGGAATATTATTCAAACATGAATACCTATAGCTGAACACCTTGTTACAGGATTCAGATAACTTTAAAGGCATCAGGCAAGCAATTCTTTATTCGGCTCCCTAGTTTGTTCGAGTTCTCAGAGGTGGAACACCTTGGGGATGAGCTACCTCATAGGCTGACCTGGCATTTTGTTTATTTCTGCTCAGTGTAAACACCACTTGTGGTAACTTTGAACCGGTTTTATAAATCTCTTTCCTCAAGCCAATAATGTCCTGGAAGTCAGAAAACATCCTTCGTTCATCTTAGGTTCCCTAGAGCACTTGGCACCAAGTAAGGGACTTGATCATTGTGGAAGGGGGAAGGGAGACAGGGAGGAATGGAGCCAGAAGAAGACAGAGTGGATCACAAAAGAGAGGAAGAAAGGGATGGGGAAGAGAAGGGATTGAAGAAATAGAGGGAAGGAGTTGGCTAAGTGTAGCCACGACAAGGGCAGGTAGAAAGGATTAGATGAAAAAAATTTCAATAAAATACTTGCAAGTGAAATTTAAGAAAAAAATAAGAAAGTTCATTTATCACAATCAAGCCAGCTTTACTTCAAGCATGCAAGGATGGCTCAACACATGTATATCAATATAGCTAAACATTTTGTAAGAGGATTTGGATAACTATAAGGCAGTTAAGATAACTAAAACGCGACACATCATATAGTGGATGCAAAGGATCCAAGGGCAGAAATCACATGGGTATTTTAACAGATGCAGAAAAAGCTTTAGGCAAAATCCAACATCCTTTCATGATAAAAGTCCTGGAGAAACTTGAAACAGAAGGGACATATTTCTACATGATAAAGCCTATATATGACAAACCTACAGCCAACATTATATTAGATGGGAAAAACTTGAAGCATTCCTATTAAAACCAGGAACAAGACACAGGTATCTATTTTCCCACTTTTTAAATATAGTGTTGGGAGTCTTGTCTAGAGCAGTAGCACAAAAAGCACCAATAAAAGATATACAACTAAGAAAGGACAGAAGTCGAACTATCTCTATTTGCAGATGATATGATTTTATACATGAGATCTCAAAGACTCTACCAGAAAACTCTTATTGCTGATTAATATTGTAAAGTGGCAAGATATAAAATTATCATAGAAAAGTCTGCTGCCCTCCTATCTACCAACGACAAACATGTTGAAGAAGAAATGATGGAAACCGTCCCATTTACAACAGCCATCATAAGTGTGAGCTATCTGGGAATAAACCCAATGAAGGAAGAGATAACCTCTATAATGAAGACTTCAAAATACCCCAAAGCGGCCCATTTCTCAAAGAGGAAATTGAAGAAGACACTGAAAGATGGAAAAATCTCGCATGCTCATGGGTTGGGAGAATCAATACTGTGAAAATGCCATCTTACCAGAGGCAGTCTAAAGACTCAATTAAGCCCCCTTCAAAATGCCAACATCATTTTTCCCAGACACTGAAAAAATTTTTAAAGATTCATTTAGAAATAAAATTCTTAGATAGCCAAAGCAATCCTGAGCAGAGAACAATGCTGGAAATAACCCAATTAAAAAATGGGGCACAGAACTGAACTGAGAATTTTCAAAAGATGAAGCACAAAAGGCTGAGAAACACTTAAAGAAGTGTTCAATATCCGTAGTCACTGGGGAAATGCAAATTAAAGCTACTTTGAGATTTCATCTTACACCAGTCAGAATGGTCAAGGTCAATAAAATAAATGATAGCTCATGCTGGTGAGGATGTGGGAAAGGAAAAACTTAGCCAGTGCTGACAGGAGTGTAAGCTTGAACAGATGCTATGGAAATCAGCGTGACAGTTTCTCAGGAAGCTGGGAATATATCTACCTCAAGATCCAGCTATACCACTCTTAGGCATGTACCCAAAGACTCTGTATCCTACTACAGAGACACTTGCTCATTCATGTTCATTGCTGCTCTATTTGGATTAGTCAGAAATTGGAAATAGCCTAGATGTCCATCCGCAGATTCATGGATAATGGAAATGTGGTACATTTACAAAATGGAATATTATTTAGCTGTTAAAAATGAAACCATGATAAAAAATAACGACTTCTTGAAATTTGCATGCAAAAAGAACATGCATATTGAGAGATGTAACCCAAACCCAGAAAGACAAATATAATATGTACTCACTCATAAATGGTTTCTAGACATAAAGCAAAGGAATAAAAAAAACCTACAGTCGACAACTCCAGACAACCTAGATAGCGAAAAGGACCCTAAGAGAGTCATTCATGGATCTACAGAGGAAGGAGAAAAAGACAAGATCTCTTGAGTAAATTGGGAGTGTGGGGGTCATGAGAGAGGGTAGAAGGGGAGGAGAAAGGTAGGGGAGTAGAGAAAAATGTATAGCTCAATAAAAACAATTTAAAAAATGAGGCAAGAAAATGAAGCCATGAAATTCATAGACAAATGATGAAGCTAGAAAAAAAAATCATCCTGAGTGAGATAACCCAGACCCCAAAAGACAAATACTGTGTGTATTCTCTTATATGTGGATACTAGTTGTTAAATCTTTGATAAGCAGACTACAGTTTATCTAAACACAGATAAGTGTAGGTACCACCCCTCATCAGAGAAACTTGTCTTTACAGCAAACAATCACAGAAAACCACAGCTGGACCCAATTCCGTGATCAACAGACCAATGGGAACCCAGCCTCTGCTGTTTTATCTACATCACTGCTCCTGTATCTATGGCACAGGGAACATCAAGGGAGAGGAGCAGAAAGACTGTGAGATTCAGAAGGTCAGGAAGTCTGCTAGGAAAAAGCCTGTCAGGGAAACAGCTGTTCAAACAAGCCTGGAATGATGGCAGTATCATTAAACATGCTAACATAGAAGGGGGAAAATTTCATGGGGTCCCACCCCGAGATAAAGAATTATAGGCAACTAATGACTGCTGGGAAAAGGAGAATTAGCCTTTCCCAGGGATGAGCCTCTTTACTGAAGAGTAATCAACCTAAATAAACCATATACACACCACCAACTAATGGACTTTGCAGGTCATATTTATATTTATTCAAGCATACACACATGCCCATACAAACATGTATGTAACAATGATAGTCAAAGAAGACGAGGAAACCTGGAAATACGCCAACCCCTTGTGGGTTTTTGGAAACTAGCGGCCCTTTCTGCTGCCAACCATTTGAGTAAGATGCTGTTATATATGCAGGAAAAGCCTCCATTGGAACTATCTCCCATGTACCTTTTCTATCAATGCTCACATCTGGCTAAGGGAGGCCCTCTGAGCAGAATTACCTGGTATTTGTATGCAATGGGTGCTGATGGATGGGGAGTGGGTTGCCCAAAGGTGAGCAGGGAGAGCCAGAGTTCTGTCCACCCAAACCCTGGTGTCAGGAACAAGCAGTCAGCAAAGCAGGTGGCTTACCTCCTTTTCTTCTTCCGCAGAAAGAGAACTTGGGCAGATCCTCCTCACAGATGGGATAGGAGAAGTTCAGAAAAGAGGAGCCTCCTGAGACAAGAGCTATGTCCAGAAACAGCTTGCTGATGTCCTCTCCTATAGACATGCACAACTTCAGCACTGTTTGTCTGCCCTGCAAGGTCGCTCAAGGCTCAACAGACCTGTCTAAATGAGCCTGATGCAAGCGAGGGATGTGGGCCATGTCTCTTCTTGACAGAGCAGCATTTCTGCCTTAAGCTTTACCTGTTTTGAGTAAGGTGGCTCACTGGCTACACTTCCTTACTGACGCTCAGTGCTCTGCCCATCAATGGAACGTCTACAAGTCTGGCTTTTAGAGTTCCTTAGTTCCATAGCGTCATGGTAGCAGGGCATGGTTGGGCCTGCATATTCCCACTACTGTTGCCTGGTAGATACTGCTCCTGGCTTCCTACAGAATTTCAGGAAGCTCTGTTGGCAGCTTTCATCTCTTTCTGGTCCCTTTTCCTATTCATTTCTTTTGTCTTCTACTCATTTTCCCCCTCTTGGATTCCCTGCCCATAGCATTTCTCCAGATGCTGTGAGACCACATATTGTATAGAGTTCTAGAAAGATTCAGTCACATGAGAGTTCTTGGTCTTTGAGAAGAATCCTAGATTCTTGGTTACTGAATGCTTCTGCTCTGTTGTGTGAAAACTGGTCTTATAAAAGTGGAGATACTTTAGGAACCAGCAAACATACTGGCTTACTCCAATGGCATGACCAACCAAGCAAGGACCAGGAAGTTTGTGGTCTCACAGTCTAGGGTAGGAAGAAAGATCCCCCTTTTAAATTTTTTTTTTTGCCAAATTGTAAGAATTTCCATTATTGTTTGGGAAGCAAAATAATGCGAGTGACAAATCATGCTGCTATGGGGTGGAGCATGTCTGGGTATAATATGCGAACCTTTTGTCTGTGGACAAGACAATTGCTTCTTTGCTGTTTACGGTGACCAGGGATTGTCAGTGTTGAAATGAGCACCCAGAGTCTCTTTAATACCACAGCACAGCAGTCGATGACTCTGAGTATTAACTAGAGAGGGGATGTGAGAGATGAAGGTGGGATAATGGTGCAGTTTGCTGTGCTATCAACGTCAGTCACTGTGTGTGCAGGGGAGGAGGCTCTGTTAGGCTTCATGTTGAGGTAATCACGTCTACTTACTCAGAATGATGCCAAATCTAATGTTGAGGGATGGTTGGATGTGCCTGGCACACTGGTCAATGGAAAGGCCAAAATCCTGTAGGGGATCTGCCGAAGAGGACACCAAGAGATTAGTCACTGCAAACTCATCGGCGAATCTGCACTAACGATTTTCACAGTACTCACTGAAGAACCCGCACTTAAAAACCCCTGAAACATTTCAGCAGCTCCTCCCAGCCTGTCCACAGTCACTGTCACGTTCACTCTGATGACACGCGTCAGTCCACGAATGACAAGTTGATTACTTACATTTTTCATCATTGCTTAAGTTCTTTCAGTCCCTGACATTCATCTTGCGAACAGAAGGAGATGTAGGTATGTACTCAGTTAAGATGTACCTTTACAATTCTGCTTTATCTTAGGCCATCCCATCCTATCCAACAGAACATCTCCTCTTAATGTTCTGCTCTGTGCAAGGCATTATGCTAAACAGTCAGGAGCTAAAGATACTGTATTTTACATATAACTTTTGCTTATTTAAACAGCTCTTTATGAACCAGAATAAGGAGCAAAAAGAGCCTACTGCTCCTCAACCCAAGCTGTGCTTTACATCCGGAGTCCATTTTTGTGGACTTGAGGCCAGGTGGCAACACACACACACACACACACACACACACACACACACACATAGTACAAATCTCCAGCCCTCTGATTTGCTTGTATACTTTTGCTCATTTCAAAAGCGTCTTGCTAATTCTCACCTTCTGCGAAGGCTTCCTCATTGTCTTGAAAATTGTCTTTTGCTTCTCTGAATTCATAAACCCTGTTGTGCCTGAAAAACTCTTTAAACTGTATAAATATATCTAGTCATCCTTCAATATCTATTCCAGGATTGCCCTCCCCCCCTCCCCCCCGGAGTCTATGGATACCAAAATCGATAGATGCTAAATTTTTGATGCAAGATATCATATTTTCATGGGACCTATGGAACCCTTCTGCGTATATAGTCATTGTTTTTTAAAGTGTGTGTGAGTGCCTACATGTATGTATGTGTACCACATAGGTGCCCGTGAAGGGTAAAAGAAGGAGTTGGATCCTCTGGAACTGGAGTTTTGAGGCAGTTGTGAGCTGGCATGTGGGTACTGGAAATCAAATACAGGTTCTGTGCAAACCTCTCTAACTGATGAGTCATGTCTTCCGCGCCCCCCAGATATTTTAAATCATTCCTAGGGGACTTACAATAGTCGTAAGTGTGATGCAATCGTGTGGCACAAGGCAAAGGCGGTGTGACTCATTGCTCTCCTGCTCTGCTCGAGAAGCACAGGAAGTACTCTGTACATGCTCAGTGTACTCATATTTAAATGCATTAGATCTGGTTTTGGCTGAATGTGAGGCTATGGCAACTGTACAATAGGAACCCAACTTGGTGATTTGCTCTGTGTCTCGACCCTACAGCCCCTAATCTAAACTTGACCCCTGTAAGGCAGGAACTATTTTTCACTTCCTTTCCCACTCTGCTTCTCACTGGGCCTAAGGGAGGAGAGCCACCTTGAGCTGAGAACATTTTAGGGATTTTCAGTCTATGTTTCGGGTCTCTCCATGACTCCACTCTTCCGGTAGATAGGTACCCCACAGATGCACATAGTGCAAAGCAGTATGGGTCGTCTCTTCAGTTATCCACACCCCAGCTCCATATCCAGCCTTTGTACTTTGCCTTGTGAGGCTACACCTCTGCCATCACCCCTCTGTTTGTTGTGTGCTGTCAGGGCACCAGAGTGAAACAGAGGCTGCAGCCAGGGGCTGGCCTTGCTGTTCATCAGGTTTCAGTGGTACTTGGTTCCAATATATGCTTCTCTGGCACCTTCCTAAGCCAGCCAGGCTCAGCCCTGTGTGTTCCCAGACCCCTGAAAAATAGTGTCTCAGAACTGGTTACCCTTTCCCCCACCTTAGACTACAAGGTCTGAGCGCTCAAGTTTTCATCCCTCTAGCTTTTGCCCTTCGCTTTTCCAGTCTTCAAGGAGGCAACTCGTCTTCACCCTCATTTTGCTGTTTTGGTCTGTCTAATTTTTCAATTCAATTAGTGAATTACCTATATTAAATTATTTATATTACATTTAATTGATTGGTTATTACTTCCTCTATAGGATCCAGACTGGTAGAATAAGGAACAATCTGGGAAGTAGGTGTGGCTTTCTTCCTTGCACAGAATGCAGCATATAGACTGAGAGATGTTCTATCCACTTAACTAGATCCCGACATAGAAAGCGCCTGAGTCAAGATGTAAACTCAGTGTTAATAGAAGTACAAACAAACCCACATTGCTGCTCAGTAAGTGTTGTGCATTGTACTCAATAAGTCAATCCGAGGAAATGTATGTTAATTTCATTCTTAGCGTTGCCTGGGATATTTTCTGTGCAGGTACATGGCGTTGGGTAATCCAACCTCATACCTGCTTCCACTGTGAGTTTCTGGGTGATGATGCAGACAGTACTGCTACCATCCACACACTGACCTGAGAAATGCATGCTTGTCCTTGAGGCTTGTGATGGAATTGGCCCCTACGCGGTTCCAGCCTGGCAGAGCTAACACAGGCACCCTCTCACCCAACTCTTTTTGGTTTGCTCTCTAATTCCCTGAGGGGAAAATGCCCCTCTTTTCTCATGCTCACATGACTTCTTCCTCAACATTTTCGTGCTGTCTCAGGACTTCTTTTCAGATTGGAAAATGATGGGGAGGGAAGAACCCATTGCTCCGGCTACACACTTCACACTCAGCATGCGAGACAACAGAGGCCGCCTAAACAACAGACGTTTAGGAAAGCGCACCCTGAAATTGTGTGTTAATTTAAATTGCCATCCAAGGCAAAATGAAAAAAAAAAAGGCATATGTATTGTTCAGTTCACAGTTACAGAATTCCAGGGGGAGCTTATCAATATTTTAAAGATGTGCATAGGATAACTGAAAGGAGAAGAAAGAAATAAAGCCTTTTCCTAGTATTAGAAAAATAATTTTAATAAGACACAAAGTCACAAAGGGATCAGCAGGTGGCTTGTCTCCTCTCTCTACGGAAATGTATAGGGAAACAAAGATTATTTTAAAAGTACTTAGGGATTTTATGAGCATCCCTGGCAATTTTCTCAAGTTTATATGCAAGAGTGGTGTCTTTGGATATAAGTATGCAGTCTCCAGACCTCTAGGAAAAGGTGACGTCACTTTCTTCAGTCCCACCCCGTGTTAATACCCTGTACATTCTTATGGAAACATTTGGGCACGGAGTATGCTCTGTGTTGCGTATATTGCATACCCTGCCATTCCACTACCAGGCATGGGTTCTCAGAACTGGGGGTGCCATATCATGTGATACTAGCACTTATTGGAAGAAGGGATATTGAAGGTTATTTGGAATAATGCCATTGACAACCTTAAAGCTTAGCCTCATGATTATTGACATTTAGTCTTACATAATCCTTTTTGTACCACAGGATGGCAGTCAGCATCTCCAGTTGCTCTCCGTGTGATAAAGCATCCCTATGACAATTCACAATGTGACAGAAACTTCTGAAACCCGTCCCTCACCCCACCCCACAAGGTACTAACTTACCCCTAGTGAAGTAGCACTGACTAAAAGAATTACTTTCTTCTGGAAAGGGACCTTTGTGGGGCAAGTTAAGAGAGTGGGAATAGGCGATTATAGATGAAGCAGAGGGCATGAGGTGGAGTCCTAGGGGCAGGAAGACATAAGAAGGTAGCATGGGGGAAACTGGGGTGAAAAAAAATGGGTGTGAAAAGCCATGTTGAAGCCTACTACCTCACAACCCAACTTTAAAAGATTAAGTGGACGGAGAGTGGAACACATATGCAAAGAAAGAAGAGAGGAAACGCTGAGGGTTAAGACATTAAACAGGGATGGAGGAGGTGGTGAGAAAGAGGAGGGAGAATAGGTGGGTTAACCAAAACAAAGCAAAAAACAAGACAAAACCAAAACAACAACAACAACAACCCCCAAACAAAGCTAAGGATGTATGAAGAAGCCCCATAGAAACCACCAGTTAGGAAGATAATTTCCAAGTTCAACTTAACACTGCAAGTTCAAGCAGAACTACCCTGCCCTGGTGGACAATGCTCCTCCAGAGAAGTGTAGGACTTCAGTGTAAGGTATGGAAAAACCTCCTTAGAAATTGTTGATTAGGGAAACCGCAGAGGCCTCCCAGACAGAACAGACTGTTGCCCTTGGTTATCCGTCTTATCCACCTGGTAGGACCCCGACTGCTGCTGACATCACATACTTGCTGCAAGTCATAGAGAAATCAGCTCCAAACTGACCAGGAAACACCCTTCCTGGTGTTTAGCTAGCTTTCGTAGTCCTGGAGAGGAGTACCAGAGAGGCCGATGGAGAGAAAAGACATTGGTATCTTACCTAGTGCTGGAATCCATACTGCAATACTGACCTGCCAGGGAAGATGTGCCTACTGGGATAATAGCGACGTGACTGTATTGGGGGAACTAACCACTTTCTGATTGGATTTGAAGGCTGGTCCACTGGGAAGAATTTCAGGTTTGGTCCTGTATTCCTTGTCAAAAGCCCGTGGCTGAAGAGATCATAGACCTTGGTGCAGATCCAATTCTTAGTATTTTCCACCCCAAAATCTAGACTGCTCTCAACCAGGAGAGCTTCGTTCTGCAGGGACACTGCATTGGTAGGTTTTCCATGCTCCAGTGGATGGCCCACACAGCATCTATCTGACTCATGAAGGCCAACGATATCATATTCTTCATTCTATGACTGAACTATGAATGACTATGGTATCTTGTCTTCATTCTGGCATGTTTGTGGAACGGAGTTGCAGAAACCAGTGGGGCTTAGAGATAACAAGGTCTTGATGAGCCTTTCTCATGCCGTATACTCTCTTAGTTGCCCGGAATCTCCTGAGCTGAATTGACTAGGTGATGGTTCAGAAGCCAACATCCTTGCCTTGGTACTTTCTGAGGTGGTGACTCAGAAGCCAACATCCTTGCCTTGGTACTTTCTGAGGTGGTGACCCAGAAGCCAACATCCTTGCCTTGGTACTTTCTGAGGTGGTGACCCAGAAGCCAACATCCTTGCCTTG